AAGCATTAGAAAAGTTGCTTCTGGAAAAAACTGCATGGGATGTATGTGACTTTTATTATTTTTATCTAGTAGTTTAAGTCATGCTGCATCATATATCTGTTTATATTAATCATTATATTGAAAAATTAACTCAAAATAGATATATTTTTTAGGAAAGAAGTTGATCCACGATTGTTAGGGTTAAGAGCTATCGAGTGTCGAGTGCAAAGTCTTTACATGAATTAGACTTAGGACTTTGAACTGAAAGAGTTTGTGATTTTGTATATTCTTTTTAATTTAAATTTGTACTTTTAAGTTCAATAATTTAGCATAATTTTATATTTAGTTCATAATAATAATAATAATATGATTCAGTATTTAGAATGATAAACTTGTGTGATTTGTACATAATACTACTAGTACCAGTACCACATAAGAATTTTATATTTTTCCTTCTTACAATCTTTGCTCTATAGTAACATCCACACTTCTGTTGTTATTGCGTTAGAATTAAAACAGTCTAACTGATATATGTATATATAGTTTATTCTGATATTTTGCAAATGGTTCAAACTCAGTGTACAACAATAAAACCCATATGTTGGTTGTGAAACAGGCTAAATACATTCATCTCAATAATACAGGGAAGCTATGACTTTCTCACAGTTGGGGTCTCAATACATTGAAGAGCTTAAGTTTTGCATTCCAACATAAATCTTGCCTATAATGAGAGGAATGTGACCAGGACTAATCTTTTAAGTGCTGTAAAGTAATTTTCTTTGTAATTTATGGTGTCTGTATCATTTGGTAATCTCTTCTAACAGGATGTATCAAGTAACAAGGAGTCAGGCTCAGGCGGTGTTTATTGAAACCACCTGTACTATAAACTGTTACATACATTCGTAAGAAAGCTTTTCGGTACTTGAATATCATTTCTTTGAACTTTCAAACAAGTTTATTTCAACATATGTCCGTGTATGTTGTTTCAGAATAGAGACAAAACTAATTGCCACTACTAACTATCATATCTACAGTAAGGTTCAAATGCGCATGCACTCGGTTGAACGAGAGTGACCACCAAAAGGGGTGAGATAGTTTACGGACAATGTACAAAATTCACGCTGCTGACCCCAAGGTTTATTCAGCACAATAAACCCAAACGTATGACTGCAATGAAACATAAACATGAATTTGAAATAAAAATATATTTATGAAACAAAATTAAAATGTTTTTATGTACATATATAAACATGAAATCCTAGTTAAAAATAAAAATACTCATTTATTGTTTAGGTTTATTTATGGGTCTGTATATTACTTGAAACCATAAGAAGAGTAGGCGATTATTAAAAAAATTAAAAATAGATAAAATTTGCATTTTATGGAGGATACAATTTTTTGGGGATTTCAAAATAATGTACTAAAACATTAACAGTAATAAGTTCAAATCTGTAGCAAATATGAATATCGTAATAATTTCCTATAAATATCATTATGCAAAAACACTAAATTTATTAAAAGTGGCTTTATGTTTCTTAAACTACCTACATTTATCAAAATTCTTATGAACTTTTGAACATATTCATCCACTAGTTTTATTGTTGGAATGAAACATAGCAAGACTTGCATTGCCTACTAAAAAAGTTAGTAGCCGGTAGTTATCGGGTTAAAGAAGAATTATAACAATATATGCTCATCTACATCTATATGGAATCCCCCAAACAACATTATTTAAAACCTTTCATAGTTAACTTTAGTAATTAATGCAACACCAATTTGGAATATTCCAGTTTTTAGAACCAACATAAAAATTACAAAACAACAGGTTTACATTTCTTTTAATTATCCATGTATAAATATCACTAGGTCTCCACACTGTTCCAGAGGTTATTCAGGATGCTGATATTTACTGGTAACATTTTTTTTCAAATTGTTCAAAACTGTTGCTATAATACAAAATTAGAATTAATGTAAGAAATATTCTTCCCCATTAATATATCAAAACATTTACAAAAGCTTGGTATTCAGATGGAATTTTTAGAAGTCCCATAAACTCCTTGTGGTTACAATTTAGGAGTTCCTTATTTGATTTTAAGCCTTCCTTATCTCCCCAAACATTATCAATGTATATATATATATATATATATAATAAAACTTTACACACACTACCCACTATTAGGCATATAATGAGGAAATTAATGACATTTTTAGATTGTTAAAACCTACAATTATTACTTGCTAACATGACATGCAACAACTTAGGAAAATAGCAATGTTGAAAAGTTTTAAATAAAAGTGCTTCAACCACATAATTTCAGAATTTTAATAATTCTTTCATGTAATAAATAAGTTTAATATACTTCTCTGTGCCCATTATTACAAGAAATGGTCAATCCCAGAATGTGTGAACAATTCAGAAGAATTAAATTATTCTGTGAAAATTTTGAAGTAATTATGGGACACTGTTGTATAATAAATTACTAACTCAGAAAATTGAGTTGTTGAATAACTCAGTATGTGCAGGTGTAAAGTTTAATGAATATTTTACAAATTAAATCAGAAGCTATGAAACTGGAGATTTCTCTACTCAATTTCATTCAGATCAATTCAGAAGATTAGAATTACTCTGAAAATTTTGAAGTAAATATAGGACACCATTTTATAATATATTACTATTTCAGAAAATTGAGTAGTTGAATAACTCAGTATGTGCAGGTGTATTAGGTTTAATGAATATTTTACACATTAAATCAGAAGTTATAAAACTGAAGATTTCTCAATTCAATTTCATTCAGATCAAGTAGTGTATGCATGTTCATTCATGTGTGCATTGAAATATTTTATGCCCCATAATATATCATTTTCAATTTTACTAATATGCAAGCATTGAATAAATATAGTAATTTTTGCTTTGCAACTCCGTGGAATGCTGTTTCTCAATTAACACAGTAACTATTCAAATAAAAGAATTTTTGTACGCTTTTCAGATGAACATATTTTTATATGCATCTATAATATTTCACTACAAAGCACAAGATATATCAAAAGTAGCACTAATTTCACTTCATCAGTTAAATGAAACTATTAGGCCAAGTAAAAAAAAATGTTTAGCACACCCATCCACTTCCTTTCTTGCACTTTTTTTTCTCCTTTTTTGAATTGTTTTCCGAGTGTACAAAAAAAGTCAACTTTTGAATAAAAAATGAGATGAACACAGTTGATTCATTTTGCCCTTTTTCTCTATTTGTTATAAATTCTGTATGATTTTGATGTAAAATCGAAACAAAGAAGACTTCTGTTTGACATGGACCATTTGCAACAATCATCAACAAAAGTGAGTAAACTTTCTTTAAAAGAGGTCATTAAAAAAAAACAGACCTCGACCTTCATTTCTTTGAAAACCAGACACTAAATTTGTTTTCTTTTTACTTGGTCTTATCAAGACTGAGTAACATTTTGCAACATAGAAAATGGGAGAATCAGCTTGAGCCCTATGGTGTGGTAAAAAATACAGAAGAATTTTTAACTTTTAATAATTATGTAACACATTATATTTTATAACACAAGTATGTGTATCAGTATCAAGTATACATTCTAAAACATGGAAAGAGACTTACTTATTGGCACATGCTTAATTTTAGACAGAAAATTTGCATATGAAGGAGAGTAGTATTAACCCTGTCACCCTGGGTACCCTTTACTGCGCATGATACAAAGTTTTAATGTTTTACATTCAAAATATTATTAACCCTTCCGACACGGGGTTGGTCGATTTGACCTTCTGTACTAGTTTAAAGTTGACAAATTTAAGACTTATAACTCTCTATATATATATTGGGTATGTCTTAACAAAATTTGGCAAAGTAATTTATGTTAAAATACTTTTTGTCATCTCAAAAATCCTTTGTGTAATCCCTAAAACCTCCTAAATGCATTTCAAAAGTTTTTTTCACTAAAACTTTATAGTTTATCTGTTATTTTCTCTACCATATCTCAAAACAGGATCGGTCAATTTGACAGACCTCGTAACCACCACAAAAAAAAATCAAAATAAACCTAAATTAACCTTTTTTTCTTTTTATAAAGACTTCAAATTGTAACATGAAACTATATTTGTTTATCCTAAGTAGCTCTAAGTTAATAATGTTATACATCTATTTATAATTAAATTCTATTGTTTTATTGCCCTTTGAACTATGTCAAACTACTATCCGTGCCATTATAAGTTGTAAATCACTCATGGATCATGCAGCTCACATTACTCTATCGAATTACATTACCCACGAGCTGCTTGTGTGCTTGCCTCATGAACCATTTTAATTATATCCATACTTTTAATTTTAGTTACTTTTATAATAATAAATATGAAAAACAAAAAGTACTTACCCAATCTTATTTTTTCTTGCCCTCGATTGTCGAGAAGAGTTTAGCCTGATTTTTTTTTTTTATAGAAATTATAGTAAAGCACTTAATTCTTATTTACTTAAATAATAAACCAAAGAATATAGACTAATAACAAGCAACAAGCACTTCTAAAAATTTTCCTGGCTTTCTAGCTATGAGACAAGAGCCATTACAAATTCATCCAAACTAGTTGTTAACTTTCCCACGGGAATTATGTTGCTTCTCAGAGTGACATTGACAGTTATCTGTTCAAAACACAATGTTATACAATATGCCATTTGATAGATGAAAACCTTGACTTTCTATTGGTTATAAATAATATATAATGAATCTTAAGAGAGAACTATCAACTAATTGTGAAAGAGAAGATGTGACAGAATTTTAGAATTAAGAACTTAAAACTTGTATACTATTAAAATATGGATTATTAGCTAAGATTTTATGCTATTCTAATTCGTATGATGTAAACAATTATAAGTTTCATAAAATTTTGAATGTTAGACACAAACCTTGTGTCATGCGCAGTAAAGGGTACCCGGGCCAATAGGTATAACGTAAACAAAAAGTAGTTTAATAAAAGTTTAATGTAAAACACTAGAACATTGTGTCATGCACAGTAAAGGGTACTCGGGCTGACAGGGTTAAACTACTTTTTATGTTATACCAATTAATTAAATAAAAATTGTTAAAAGAATGACTATAAAAAAATCAGGCTTAACTCTACTCGACAATCGAGAACAAGAAAAAAGAAGATTGGGTAAGTACTTTTTGTTTTTCATATTTATTCTTTATTTATTATTGTAAAAGTAACTAAAATTAAAAGTATGGATCTTCTTAAGTTATTTAAGACTAGATTAAGAAAAATAAGTAATAATAATAATAATAATATAATTAAAAGGGTTCATGAGGCTTGCACACAAGCAGCTCGTGGGTAGTGTAATTCAATAGCGTAATGTGATAGTTTGACATGGTTCAAAGGGCAATAAAACAATAAAATTTAATTATAAATAAAGGTATAATGTTATGAACTTAGAGCTACTTTGGATAAACGAATGTAGTTTCACGTTACAATTTGAAGTCTTTATAAAAAGAAAAAAGAAAAAAAGATTAATTTAGATTTATTTAAATTTTTTTTGGTGGTTACGAGGTCAGTCAAATTGACCGATCCAGTTTTGAGATATGGTAGAGAAAATAACAGATAAACTATAAAGTTTTAGTGAAAAAAAAAAAAACGTTTGAAATGCATTTAGGAGGTTTTAGGGATTACACAAAGGAAATTTCAGATTTTTGAGATAACAAAAAGTATTTTTAATTTTAACATGAAAATTACTTTGCACACATACTATTCAAAACAAATACTCAATATATTCATGGACAGATCTTTATTTTATTAAAAATACTTCACTATGAAATATGACTTTTTGTATGTGAAAGACTTGTAATATTAACTGAAAGTCTGCCAAATTTTGTGAACATATACCCAATATATTGAGTATTATAAGTATTAAATTTATAAAGACTTTAAAACTAGTACAAAAGGTCACGTGACTCAGTCAAATTGACCGACTCCGTGTTGAGAGAGTTAAAAAGAGTCCCCACCCCTAAAATAACATCTTATGAATATTCTTAATTCCAAGAAGAAAAAAAAAGGGGGTGGGTGGCTTTGTGATTTAATTTTGCAGAAATTTATCATCTCACCTATTATTTATGCATCTATTCTTTTCAAGCACACAACACACTTGTAAGTTTTATAATACTTACGATCTTTGAATGACGCTAACTTCTTAGGGTCAGGAGAACCATCTGAAAATTATATAAAAATAAAAAGCAAATAAAACTAAAAGTTGCTTACATTACTCCACTTTGTAGTTCTTTTCAACTTAAACAATCATGGAACCAAAACTAACAATTAGAAGATTTAAATTTTTGTTTCTGATAAAACACTATTATAAATTTCCTCAGAACAGTATTTTCCAATAGATATTTGAATAATAAAAACCTACCATATTAAAAAAATCAGAGCTAAGTTAGCATGATGTTATTTTGTACTTGCCAGAGAAAGTGCATGTCCATCATTTTTAAAATAAGGTCTATGAAATTGTATTTATTATTGTTAATAACTGGCAAGTTTTCATATCAGTCCTACTAAAAGATCGGGGTTCAGTTTCTCAGTAACTATTCCCACACACACACACATAAAAGGGTCAAAGTATACATGTAACAACTTTATAATAAATATATATATATATATATATATTTATTTATTTATAAACTTGGCATTAAAGTGTATTCTTATAATTCACATTTTTATGTTATCTAAGTTTTGATTTCAAAAGAAAATATTTAAATAAACTCTTAATCTGAACCTCTGGGTTACATGAAAAGGGTTGGCTATTAATTCTCATTTATAGACCTTTTATTTTTGCTTACCACTAAACCATGGTATGTTGTTTCCTTGAACATTGGGGGGAATTTTTTTTCCCTTAAGTTTTCTTACCTTACCTAATAAATTTAAAATTTTGGCAGTTTAATTATAATTATAGCAACAAATAAAAATATACATAAAAAAACAAAAGAAAACTGATACTTATGCCTTGACTGCCCTGTATCAGAGGTTATCTGGACAAACAAAGCAAAAAACACAGATCCAATTATGACAATACTGATGTATAAAACCCTAAAAAAAGACCCAATTACAAGAAATTTTGATGTTTTTATATCTTATTTATTTGCAAAAAAGTACAATTTCTGTTTAGTTGGCAATTTTGCATCTTTATTCAACTAATTTTTGATGTCTTACTTCCCTGGAAGTTTCTTTACATTGGAAAATATAAGCCCAAACCATGCTGATGTTACATAGTATCTTAAGGAAACAAACAGTCAATGACCTGTAAAACTTTTAAACAGAACAGTGATCATGTCCAATCACATTCAATGCTTTAATTCTAACCAGCTTGGCCTGCCTGCCAAGTACAGTGGAGTACACCCATAGGAAGACTAGACTTGCATCCGAACTCTCACACGTACTACTATACCGTAATATGTACACAACGCTTGACTGCTACAGGTGTACACACACATATACTGCTCATAGTTTGTACTGACCTAGAAAGAAGGAAAGCTAGCCTTAATGTATTTATTGTTATTCTGTTTTGTACTGATCAAAACTACCATAAAATTTGGTTTGCAGTTATCGTTATTATGTTCTGTATAATTCATGGATTTTTCTGCTTTTCTCATGGTAGCTGGGCCTTCTGTATTTCCTAGACTTCATTGGTTGTGTCTGTCTTAGGCCCATATGTGCATAATCAAAAGTAGGTCAGTGTTACAACTGTGACAATTAGCAATTAAAATTCTGAGTTTGATTTTGTAAATTTGATTATTTTAGTTCCTATTGAAGGTTTATTGGTAAGAAGTTGAGACAGCCATGTTAGTTTTAAGGTCATAAGCATCTATACTAGAAACTAATCTCACTAAATACTCATGTCATCAGCATTCATTTTCGTTGTGAATTCCTACCAGCCCATTTATATGCATACAAACATCGTGCAATACAATGTGTGGTAATGTATCTAACTGAACTGTATACACTGTACTGTGTTATCACACACAGCCATTTATGCTCAGTTGAACTCTATACAAAATTTACATGCATACAGCAGCACAGAGATGCAGTTTGTCCATCATAGAAAGTTCAGTGACTAAGCATAATCAGCCAGTCACAAAAGCAAACCTTTTCAGCCCCTTTTGGTGGATTGTACTAACATTTCTCTTGTACAAGGTATAATCTGTTTTAAATAAAAAAAGTGGACCAAAAAATATTGTGGGGGGTTAAAATTTGGGTTCATAGTTAGGAAATTTACCAATGAATTTGGCCGAGGATCGGAGTCAGCATTATGTGTGTAGTGTGGGCATGAATAAGCGTACAGTAGACTCTGATGCTGTTTTAAGTAATCGTCTGTCCTAGGTCACTGGTCATCAATCGGAGAACACGGGGGTTTAAGTTGGTTGTATGAGGAAGTTTTTACTCATCTCGGATGACTGTTAAAATCAAGCCCTGTCACCTGTGAATGAACTTGTAAGAATCCTGAACCACAAAGTAATTTTCTGTATGTCTTTTTCAAAATTTCCAACTTCCTATTTAGCTGGCATATCTGTTCATTGTTAGTCACTCACTGTTTTGTGTACCTTCAGTTTAATCCCTAAACTTTCATACAGTCAGGGTATCTCACCTCACTGCAAACTAGTTCCTAAAAGACCTCAACAAGATGGCATATCTATTAAATAATGCACTAGAACTCGTAAAGAAAGAATAAATTATCTTCTAGCATTCAATTATAGTGGACTTGTTTGGTAAAATGAAGTTAATTACAAATAATAAACCACAATTGCTTACCACCTAAAAGATCCATATTGTCTTCAAGAGGACGCTTAGTTCCACCAGTGGCACCAGTATCACCACCACCACCAGGATTAATCTTTGCTGCTATCTGTTACAAAAACATTCTTCTTAGTACTTTCTTACTTCTAAATTACCTTATTCAATCTTTGTTTATTTCACAACCATAATTAATATCTTTTTATACTTTGAGGCTGATTTATGCACACACACTAATTTCTTGTACTGGTATTCTCCTGTTTAGAGCTATATTTTAATCCTTACAAAACTCAAATAATTACCCAATTTGCCAAATGGAAAATTCCAAGATCTTTGTTTGAATGAACACTCTTTCAAATAAGGCATTTTTAGTAAATTTATACACATTTTAATTTTACTTTATTTCCAAAAAGCAATACTTGAATACAAATTAACTAAAACATGTTGCAACATATTTTTACCAACATTAAATTTTTTAATTTGGAAATGACACTAATGCTGAAAATCTGGTGTTATATGGTTCTTATTTTTGATGTACAATTTGGTATATTTGAAAGTCACATACTTGTACTTCAAAAAATTTAACCTTAGAGCTCAGTTTAAATCTATGAACCCAAATAATTTTTTCTACAGTTAACCATCATCTGTTAAAAATTAACATATTAGACATACACCTGAAACCAATAAATTACTTTTTATTTATTAAAGTTTATGACAATGTTTTGCTGATTTAAATACAAATGATAAACATTTTATGACTTATAGCTTCAGATTTTACATGTAGTGCCCATGTTAGTGTTAGATGCACACAAATTTGTCCATTGGAAGTACTGTCAAAAACTGATGAGTAAAAATGCCTGCTATTTGCCACAGTAACAATAAGACTCTATAAAACTATACTAATTATTGCTAAGTTTATTTTCCATTCTGTCTGTCTTTTTTCCCTACTGAGTACCTCATTCTAGTCTGTATATATCCCTTGTTGTAACAAATTAAATTTTCACAGATTGCATCACAGTGAATTTGCTATTTAACACACATAAAATACACCTCTGTAGGTTGTTAACATGTTATAAGACATTTCATTTGCATTGTTAATCTACAGAATTGAACAGCCTTTTGGTGTAATGGGCTCCAATAGTTTAGAATTTGGCACATTGCCTAATGGTAGTGACCAAGATGGCAATAAAATATAGAACAAGATATTGCAGGAACAGCACCTAGAGTTGTGTCTGAAGTTTAGGCAGAGGAAGGGACATAACATGTGTTTTAGATTACCTAGTTTAGCTCCTTATTGCTTTGAATTAGCTTGAAAGGAAAATCAACAATTCTAAATAGCATATACTTATTAACATGTCTGCTACAGTTAAAGCTTTATTTCTCTCAATATGGAGTTCACCCAGTCCAGACAATTGGCCTTCACAAAGAAGCTATTTATATTGATACGAGTATTTGGATGAAGCTGTGTAATGCACAAATTCCTAGTATGTAAAGTACATTCATTTGGGGCATCTTGGGTCTTTTGACCCTGGTTAATCTGACAATAACCCAAGAAATGGTTTTATGAGCACTCAGTCAAACAACTACCTTCTGCAATTTCTTATCTTTTAAATATGGTGCTTTTTTAATAACATGTAATGGATTAATCTGAAGTTTCTTTTTGTGGGCCTATGATAAGAGTTAAAACATTTTATTGTATTTAATTGTTCATTAAATAATTATGTGACATATCACTGCAATAGGAAACTGGGTGATGGTGGAATACTCTTCAGAGGCAAACTGCCACAGCGGGTGAAAGCAGCCAACATTTTCCTACTGCCTTGACTAATAACTTGACAGTGTTAAAATCATGATTCAACTAGGTTCATCAGAAATCTTAAATAGAAAAAAAAAAAGACTTGTGATAGCATGCACACATTTCGAGGTGTGACAATGTAATTCAACAGTGCTTGCTTTGTTCAAACACTGTGATAAATGACTTTCCACATACACTGGGAGGTGCAAATGTAAAGCAGTAAAACTAAATGAGCCTAGATTTGAAAAGTCTATTAGCTTTGGCTGTATAAATAAACAGTGTTTAATTGTTTTTTATAATTTGCAGAAAAGAGTACTTTAGATTCTCTATTTTTCAACTTTTCATACTGATTTCACTAGTTAGTTGTAGGATAGATAAAATAAAGTTTTAGTGAAAAAAAAAATTACTACTTGTTTATGAAACTACAAGCTATGCAAATGAAATATGAAAAGTAATTTTATTTTCAATATAAATCACCTTCTGCTCAAACTAGTCAGTCTGACCCCATAAATTCATACACAAATCATTAGTAAAAATACCTCATTAAATTTTGTGTGTGTGTGCGCAATACACTTGTAATGCTTGCTAAAACTTATGATTATACACAGTAAATTCAGAACTATAGTAAGAATTAATTCTCCAATATGGGGTTGGCTCATTACATGCAGTTCACATAGGTTTAATCCTTGGCCTATGTTTGAATAATAATCACACATCAAATGTCATTCACACTGAAAGTTTCACCCTTTGATTAGTATAATGGCCATTACTTACACCGCCAAAATGTTATACACAGTAGTCCCTCCTGTACATTGAAGCAGACCATTATGGTGGACACATAGCTAAGAATAGTCTTATCTAGCTTTTCATTTAAACTTAATATTCCATTTCAAGATGATTAAGATTTGTTCATTCACATCTCTCTATTAAAAAACCTCTTACACAATTAACTAGCTATAATCAGTTACATTTCCTTTCAACCCAACACACAATCATAAGTGAGGTAGTGTATTTTTGAAAATTATAGATATAGGTAATGCTTAATTGTGCCAAGCCCACTGTCCTTAATTTACCAATTAGACTCGGAGTGGAGCTAATACTTGTGATTTATGATGAAATATGACTTATCTCCCATTAACAGTATCAAATTGACACAAGCACACTTTACTCCAGCCATGTGTAACAAAAATTAATTTCATTGATAACTGGTATTTCTTAGTACGTGCGCCAGTAAATTTTCTTGCATAAAAAATATTCCTTAAAATTATAACTGGTGTGAAATACCAAGTTCCCGGGTTACTGAAAATCCTTGAACTATTGGATTGTCTTCTATATTTAATCTACACCACCAAGTATTTCTGGTTATCCATGGAAGTGCAAGGGCTTTGTATGCTATTTTTATACACAATTTTTTCAGTCTTCTGTGTTTCTTTACTTTGTTTAATTACATATTCCTGGCTATTCAAGCATGTGCAAAGACTTGTAGGCAGTTTTCACAAGTTTTTTGTGATTGCCAGAAGAATAAGGAATGTTGTGGAGCAACTTGATCAGATTTGACATTTCTTATATAATGGCATACAAGGAGCTAGATCTACTGAATTATTGGTTCAAACTAATAATCTGGATAGTAGTAAAAATAAAAATATAAAATAATAAGAAGAAATATGAACAGAATAAAGAGTTGAGAAGATTCATAAATATTATGAGTATCCTGGTTTAAAAGATGGTCAAAATGAGATGACTTGCAAGATTATCTAAAGTTTTCTGATGTGGCTGACAATCAGTAGTTTTCTAGCTGGCTGTCTTTCTTACATGGTCTTACTGGTCTCCCATTTATATCAGTGGTTTCCAAATTGTGTGTCACAGCAAGTAGCAAGTTGCTATGGGTGTTGGAAGAGTTTCACTAAATGAAGAATAATTAATATAAGAGTAAAAAAAACATTGCATGTGGCAGCAGGGATGTCGTACAAATCAAGGTGAGTTAGGGTGTCGTCAGTGAAAAAATGTTAGGGAACTACTAGTTTATACTGTGTAGCAGCAGTAAATGCAGTTCAAAGATAAGCAGAACAAAAAGCCAACTATTTAGCTCATAACATAACAATACATATTGTTAAAACATGTTCAACATTGCTTACTATATTCTTATACAACATAAGATGCCCTTTTCTCTTTATCCTACTCTGCTTCAACTCCATGCTTAGAATTTCTATGGCATCAGATGCCTCCAAAGGTATAATATTATAGTGTCAATGCATGCAGAAGGTACTCTTACAGACTGACTTATTATATGCTTACTCATAATTCTGGAATTTATAATTTATTTCACATTTATTTTATGCCTTACTTTTGTTTGATGTTAAAATGAAATATTTCAAGAATGGGCAATAATTTGTTAAAATCCTATAAGCTCAAAAAATAAAACATTCGGTTAAATACATGGATATATTCTACACATCTTTAATGATTTTGAAAAAAATTAACAGTGATAAGATGTTAACTGAAACTAAATTGTGGAAAGTTTATAGCAAATCTATAGATGAATGAGGAAAATAAAACTAGAACCAATAAATAAGGAATCACCTTTATTATAAAAGTTTATATGAAACAAACTACACAGATCTCCTAAAGAATATAAAGCTATCTATTATATACTTACTCATAAATTGGTTTTTCCACATATTTATTAAAGAATGTGTTTGGAACTTTTTAGAAGTTTTAAAAATAAATGTGAAGTATATTCTTGTCAGAAGCACATTGCATGTATTTTTAATTTCTTGATAATGTTCAGAAATTATGGCTGAAATGATACAAAATGTACAAATAAAAATTTAGCAAATATTTTAAGTGACCAGGTTTAAATATCAATAGCAATGAGTATTGCAAGTCTAC